TTCCAAAAGTTCTTAAACGAGAAACAGTCGTAATGAGCATTAATTAAATTGCTGTTCGGGGCGTTTTCCCTTTTAACAGTTTCATTCTCTGAAACACCCAAATAGTTAAGGATATTAATCACGTGTCTTATTACTTATCAGGCGTCATCTTAAAATGACAGTTTCAATGTAAGCCCTATAGTCATGAAGTAAGGCAATTAAACGCCTTTATTTAAAAGAGTAAACCATGTTACGAAATTGTACGACCTAGCAGCTGCCTAGATTGTTCTATTATAGTTCTGTTACACTGAAGGTCGAACGCCTCATACTGATCGAGCCAAAATGTCAATGGCTTGCGGCCTTAATTACTTCCGAGTGCCAGTTGTACTGCTGCATGGCACGTTATTTTCATAAAGTCCCTGGGAAAATCAAAAATAAATCATTATGGTGATAATGTCAATAGGTTCATAGTTTTGAACCTGTGCTTAAAGTACAAAATACCACCGAGACACGTAATTTTACACACGTGTTCAGCGCGAACTATAGGTGAAACAATGACGTAATTTTGAAAATAAATGTGAAGTAGTTTTCCACACAGTATACATTGTATACATTTTGCAACAACAAGAACACAAATAGATATATACTTGTATGAATCTATAGTATATGTACCCAATGGTGGCACTTTCTCTAAGTCAGACTTAGCGTTAGGTTGACAATCTTTTTCTACCATCGGTATAATGGGGGCAATCAGTTGCCGTCCGATTAACTCAATAAGTGGAGCGTTGGACTGTGAATCGGGCGAGCCGGGTTCGATTTCCGGACGGTGCAGGTCACTTTTGTTGTGATTGATAATGAAACCCTTTCTACGGCCATTTGCACTGTACCTTTGCTCTGACATGTACAGAAGTTATCAGTTCCTTGCGAAAGTGTAGGCAACTTGTACTGGTAAACTGTTTGACAGCATGCCCAGAAACGGTGCGGCGGCTAAACTCTGATAAATTTAATGAGACTTACTGCCGTGACCCGGAGTGAAAACTTCTATCACCACCACCACACCACGGAGCAATAAGTTGCTAAAAACAACACCTCCCTAAAAATGAATTAATGAATAATAATAATAATAATGATGATGATAATAATAATAATGATAATAATAATAATGATAATAATAATAATTCATTCATTCATTCATTCATTCATTCATTCATTCATTCATTCATTCATTCATTCATTCATTCTTATCGTTCGTGCGTTCGTTCGTTCGTTTGATTTCTTTTTTCCTTACAATTTATTTATATATCCTTAATTGTTATTTGTCTTTTTTAACACAATAATTAGGTTCTGTATAATTTAACAACTACATAAAGATACTTTTCAAACTAGGAGAACGCCAGGGGCTATCAAAAATGTTTATTATATTTTCCAGTGTTTGGACTTACTAATGGTCTTTTATAATTGAAAACAAATATACCACTCTTTTAGATGTACATTCCCATTTGATTTTCTTCAAAAACTCGCGATTTCAAATTCAAAAATTCATATTTTCACAGTTTTAACTTCAAGAAGTTCAAATGTTCCTACATGTCTTCCGTGGGGTTGTCCTAGTTTCATTTTAAGCAAAGCTATCCCTATATACATTTGTTGTTGCATAAATCGAAACTTGAAAGATACTGTATCAACAGAGTATACAGTAAATATAAATAACTCAAAACGTACTTTAAACAAACTACAGCTTACGAGCAGATCGACTCTTATGGTGAACATTTCGAACATGCGTTTTATGTTTGAATATATATGTTTCAATCATGATATAATTATAAAGCAAATATTCTTTGCATGTTTGAATACAAGTATTCTGTTCTGTGATGAAACCGTGCTGTGCTGTGATGTGCTGTGATGTACCATGCTGTGCTGTGATGCACCGTTTATTTTCTGTTTATTTTCTTCATTATAGTATTATCAGTTGTATTCTGCTGAAATTCGAAATATGTGTGTTAGTTCGCTCATTTATCACACTTCAGTGCTGTCAAATTTAAATAAATTATTTTCTAAATCATGTCATGGATGAAGTTAAACCACGGGTATATCCAATAGACATCAAATAACATGGATACGGCGGAATTTCAAGTGGTTTAAAGCTGTTTTATATAAGCACAATCAGATTATTGTTATGTCAGAATTTGAACATCAATTCTCTTATCGTAAATTTAATTTTTATTTAAATGGTTATACAAATACCTCTCATAAATGTTCTGTTTTTGAAAGGATGTCAAACAAAACTATACTTAAACGTTTGTTTTACTTCTCGATATCTATTAAAAAAAGAGTCTCCTACATTTGATAAATTCATTTGATCTGACTATTGATAAGGTTATTTTATTAGTTTTTTTACAATTTTGTGTCAGTTTAAAGGGACTCCACTGAGTTTTTTGTTTGACATAATGTTACTGGAAAGAATTTTTCGAAATTAATTTTCCATTACTTGTAGGTCTATAATAATAACTTGTGTGCAGAATTTCAGATCAGTTTCTCACTACGTTTTTTCCGGAAAAACTATTTTAGTTGTGAAAAAATGATCCAAAATTAAAAAGCGTAGCAACGCTTTTTACTTAAATCGGGCTAAAAACAGCACACAAAAAGATTTAAAGTTATTTCAGAGTATATCTATTAATCATTTTATGTTTTTGGATTTAAGTGCCCAAATTGATGTATGTAAGAAATTCAAATTTTAAGTTTTAATGCTTTGGAGCCTCAGTTATGTCCTTTTAAGCGAACTCTTTTGTTTTATAGCAAAAAATTATCAAGTTTAGAACAGAACAGAACAGAACAGAACAAATATTTTATTATTTTCAGACTTGAGCATATGCTCCTCATCTTAACAGAAATACAGTATATATCAAGGTATCACATAAACATTACAAAAGTATTAATATTCTTATATAAATATATATACACATCAGTACATAATTATTTATCATGAGAGTGATATAATATAATGGTTATTTATACAAAGTCGGATTACAATTATATTATTTTCTTAAAATATCGAACAATTGTTATCCCGGCAAGAGAAATGCACTTGGCTACTAAGTATTTCTAGAGCAATATTATATTGAAACAAAAGCAATAAACTATAGTACTTCTTTGGAATATAATACTATTACAGACTCAAATAATTTATACAATGAGACTATGTTAACAAATTACTCCTTATTTTCAATGCACAATTCAGATAGCAAGCTAGATTGTTCAAAGTGTGTACATTCTTTGATTTAAACAACTGAGTGAGTTTAAACACACTAGGACGTTCGTAAAAATAATTGTCTATATATCGTTTTCTTACACTTTTATACTTTGTACATGTTAAAATAAAATGATATTCATCTTCAATGTCATTTGATCCACATACTTCGCAAACTCTCTCGCTCCTTTCTATCCTATTTTGTCCGTATCTACCGGACTCAATACGTAGTTTATGTGAAGAGAGTCTAAACTTTGTTAAAACTTGTCTACATTTTTTTGATTTAACAACACTCAGGTAATCCTCATACACAAAGTCTTGTTTAACATTCTTATACACAAATAAAACACTATTGTTAGTCAAACTACTATTCCAGTCTTGCACAAAAGTATCTATTAAACGCTGTCTAAAACATATAATGAAACAGTTAATGTCAACATTTTGTGGTGATTCCCAAATATAGCCGAATCCATAGCTATATAATAATTTCTTTACGTTATGAGCCCAGTTTGTTTTTTCATCTTCCAGCATCAAATCATAAATTTTTCTAATTACGCAATTTTTCGTATTCAAAATTTTAAGCCAGAATTTAATAATTCTGATATAGCGATTAATATATAAAGGAAAACGTGCAAGTTCACCGTATACACCAACATTACTAGTGGACAATTTAACATTTAGAATATGTTTGCAAAATTTAAGATGTATTCTCTCCATTTCTTGACATTTTGTATAACCCCATACTTCAGCAGAGTAATTTAAAATAGAAACACAAAAAGCGTCAAAAAGGCTGCACATAGTTTTTGGTGTAAAATCAAAGTCTTTAGTATTTGATATTAAGGTATTCATTGCTTTTAGCGATTTTCCAACTAGCATTTGAACATTCGAATCAAAACGACCGTTAGAATTAAAGACCGTGCCTAAGTAATTAAAGTTATCCACTATCTCCAGACGATTTCCGTCATAAGTCCATTGTTCGCTATTTTTCAGTCTTCCCCTCCGTCGAAATACCATCACTTTTGTTTTGTCAATGTTCACTTTTAATCCCCATCGATCACAGTATGTGTGTAGGTCATTTAAACTTAGATATGGTAGAAATAATTTCTTCAGATAAATATGTTTAGAGTCTCCGTTTCCCTGTGTCGGAAAATATACTATTACGTTTATAAATAGGGTCAGTAAAATGATATGTGAAATTATATTTTATTATTCACATGGCTGATTAACACAATATTGATAGCATTATAATAACAAATAGAACAATAACTTATAAATGATATTTTAGTAATGATAAATATAGAAGATCATTTGGTTGAGTATGAACTCGGCCGTAAAACAATATCTCGCCTCGCCACTTAGCTCAAAAACCTTCCCGCTTTCTACATTATGGCAAAGATCCGAAGAGAGCTCATGATCCCTGGGTTGAGGCCGTCGTTAGGTCATCACTCCCTTTATCTTATATTGCAACTGATATGGTTGATGTGGCCGAGGAGAAATAAGTAAACAGTATAATTTTGTACTTAGTCAATAGGGGATGAGTGTAATACGGAAGGTCAAGGGGTCAAACAAAAGTATTGGATGACGAGCATGTAAATTAACGTCTTTTATCTGGCTATCTCACTGATAATCAAATTAAACAAATTGTTTAACAGCAATATTTGATTGTCGCGAGTCCTATTTTAAGGTAAATAAAACTCTTAAGATCGGCATCCGTTCGGTTAATCCTAGGTCACGTGCGGACTTGATTGTTAATAATTATTCAGAATACATTCTTAAATATCAATCGAACGCGCGCGTTCATTGTGGTCAAACATAAAGTTTCATGAAACGGTCAATGTGTTCGCCCTTAAACCCTGTAAGGAAGTCATAAACCACTTTAGATACATCGATATCAGGCAATTAACATTTTTGTTTGCCGTAGTTTATAAATAATATCATCAAAGTAAATAAATATCGGATGGTCGTATTGTAATAAATCTAATTATGGATAAAACAATAACTTAAAAAAAATACGAAATTTAGCCTGGATATGATTCAAGCCATGTGTGGTATTTATGAAATGCGTATACTCAAGTAGTGGACTTTTATTTCTTAAATGTGGTTTAAAGTTTGAATTTCGAGTAATTGACGTGTTGCGCTGTCAGAAAATGTGACTTTATTATTTCGCCTTTTTTTATAAAACAGTTTTTGCAACTTTAAATTTGAACTATAAACGGAAGTTGTAAACTAATCTTTTTTTTTGTTTCGTGCCAAATTTAAAACTTTATGCAATGTTTAAAAATATTTGATTGTCAAAATTGTTTGATGTCCTCTATTTAGATAAAAAAAATGGAACGTAAAATGCGCGTTTATCATAAATCTAGTACAAAAATGGATTATAATATAGAGAGACAGGAATTTACTCTAGTTTAGATTTAAATGACCGATAGTGAAAAGAACATAGCAATATAAAAAGGCAGTCTCTGAAAAACGGCGCTTAAATTCAAGTGGATATCATTATGGAAAAGAATGTTAAGAAATCTCAGACATTGGGGCACAAAATTAAAGCTCGATATATTGTGGATATTGTTTTATGGTTGGCAGGTATTGTTTTCTTTTTAATAATTTTTATGTTTATATCTCTTTCCCTTTATTGAAATCGTTTTTTATTTATATAATGTCCGATAATACGTATTAACACGTAAGTTATTTTTATGAATGAATATTTCCTTGTAAAACTATAACTTGAAGTTCGATAAATGTTCCTGTTTTTTTTTTTTAAAAAGGGAAATATTTCATTTACGCTATCCCAATTGAAAGGCGAATTATGGTATTGAATTTGCGACATTTATTGAATTTACTTAAATATAAAAACACATGTAATTAGTAGTTTTGTTCGTTGCATTATCTTTATTTTAGCATCAATATAACTAAGTTTGCTAAAATATTATTATTATATTATTAAAATTATTATTATGAACATCATTTTTGTTGATGATGTAGATCTTGAAAATGATGGTGTTTTTGATTTGTGTATGTCAACACATGCATCAAAACTTTAACTTTGTCAGCCTAAAAGGTAGAATCGTTTCTTACCTTAAATGTTATCTATAATTTTCGTAATAAACGAGTCAAGTTATTAAAGAACATTGGCGATACTTTTATTTACTTATCAAATGTTAGTGGTATTGATATTTTTAATCGAACGAAAGAAAGATAGAGAATGAGAGAAAGCCTTAAATAAATAAATAAAAAAAAAGAAAGAAAGAAAGAAAGAAGAAAAAAGAAACAAATGGTGTAAAAGGAACTAAACTAGGCAAAACTGCAAGGATATCTACCTCTTTAGAAAATTCGACTACTTTAACTCCTGCTGATAGTAAAGAAGTACGAGTAAACTAAGATTTAAACCAAACTTTGTGACAATCATGAATAAATTTAATTATCTATCAGTCCGTCACTACATAAACACTTCACATAATGTAAACTGATACTGGTATATCAAAAATAATAGACAAGATTATTTATGAATTGTTCTGACAGGGGTGTTTATTTTAAACTTAACAATAAAATGAGCTAATAAAATGATTTACTATCATCATTAAGTGTCATCATCAAATATATCACTTTTAATTTCGGAGTCGTATTTTTTGTTTCATTTTGCAAAACAATTAACTAACAAAATCGATTCATATATTTTGCTGAAATTTGAAAAAAAAAAACAAAAAAAAACAACAACAACAAGAAACAGAAAGAAAAAACAACAACAACAACAAAACAAAACAATGTTCACGATCACTTTTGCAAAAGAAATACGAACGATTTCTTAAAGGTACATTATGCCTTAGAAACGAATACATTTACTGCCTCATAAACTGTATTACATTTCAAAAATGGTTTTATACAACGTTAAAGGGTTATTTCTGGAAGAAAATAGCGCGAAATGTGAAATAATTTGTCAAAAAAGATAAAAATGGTTCAGGTAATTGGCCAACGAATAGCTCATTGGAAACATTAAAAGTTCACCCAAAATAACAAGCTTTTCAGAACTAAAAAAGAAGCATTTCTGAAGCATAATGAGCCTATAACATACGCAAGTCATGTTATGAATTTCATGATAATTCTATATTACCAAGTCAGTAACAACATACACGATCATTGCGTGTATGGCAAAAAACATATTTAGTTTACTAAATTAAAACAAAACAACAACAACAAACGAGCTAAACGATACAAATTAGAAGGTCAAGTCGGTCTTTTGATTTTGAAATTTGAACACATGTTTTTTTGCAGGATAAGTGTCTTAGTGATATAAAGTACAACAAGACATCATAAGTCGTGGGAATTTCCTATCATCCTCTTAAACGGCTGAGCGATGCAATAATGACAACTGAGATTCTGACCTGTTAAGACAAAGAGCTTATTTTGTCCTAAATAAGAAATCTTTAACTGCACGTCTAAGTGTTAATTTTTGTTGATAACTGAATTAAGAAAATTAATTAATTTAGTAATTTATGAATTAATATTTTTGTTACATGACCAGAAAGTACAATAACAATTGTGTAATGAGCTGAGTTGTTTCCCTAAATTATACAATTACAATCTATCTGCATATGGAAACACGATATTGTACTAATTGCAACATGTATCAATAACTCATTATTCGCTGGTTAAGAAGTTATTGTTTACCTCAATATTATTGTATTTGTCCAACCATCAAATTTAGATCAATTATGCAATCTTGTCAATAAATAAATGAAAAAATTAAAATGAAAACAGAAAAAGAAATAAGAACTTTCAATTTAGCTAAAGTTATTTATTGTGCTGTTTATAAGAGAAGCTCTAACAAATCATTATCTATAAGTATTTATTATATACTTATAAATGAAATATTGAGAAATATTGATGAAATAAAATGCGTATTTTCATTTTCCGTATTTTCACTGTAAAAATTTATTTTTCACTGCAGTGAAACATATTTTCCGTATTTTCACTGGTGTCTTGCCGGACTACTTTCTTTTAAATTCTACCAGTACACAAAATTTAAGGGAAAGTTTTTCAAATCATATCGCAAAAAAGAGAAAAATGTACATAATAAACAGAAAATTCAAGTTTTTTCTATAAATACATGATTTATTTTCATCTTGTGGCATGAAAATTACCATATTTCACTCGTGGCTACCGCCACTCATGAAATATTTATTTTCATACCACTCGATGAAAATAAATCATGTATTTATAGAAAAAACTTGAATATCCTCTATGTATTTGTTTTTATATACTTGCTTTATACATACTGTCATATCAATAATTTTTATAGAAGTTTTGGAACTACATACTATTCTGTTTTCATGTATTGCAAATATGATATATCCGCCACCATAACATTAAGATGAGCATGTATTTATTCATATGTCTTGATGTGACTTGTTGACAAGGACAATGCTTCAAACACTGGACAGTAATTGTGCCTCATGATTTCGCTACGATCTGGAAGAACAAACTATCATTTCATAACATTGTCTTTTGTTCAGAAGTCAATTTGTTTTTAAGTATCTCAACAACTTCGTTTAAATTATTCTTTAAGTTATCAAATAAGAACTTGATGGTTTTGTTTAATGTTTTCTTTTTCATTCGGCATGAGTAAGAAAACAACTGTTACTGAATAAATTGATCCCTAAAAATACTTTTAAGGTTAGAAAACATGTTTTATATGACACATAATACAGATTTATTTTACATGCATAGTCGACACATTAAATCTTACATAAAATCTTGCTGACATGATTGAGTTCATTAAATCACGAAAAAAATATTCAAACAATGTCATTAAGAGGTCATGCCTGCATACATCTATCAGATAAACTTCTTTCAACACAAGATGCACTTGACGATAACAAAACAGAAATGAAAAACAAAAGGACTAATTAGAATGTATGCAAGACTTCTGTCGACAAATGTATTGTTTGACTGCCGTTTAAACATTGCTGTAATTGCACGATTCAAATTCGCGATAAGTGCAATATTGACCGAAATACAATGCTTGAAATAGAATGTTGTCGGACCAGGTCTGTTTATCCTGTTTAACGTCTTTGATGCACAGTCTCTGTTACGTCATTGGATTTTGTACCAGAAAGCGTTCGTTGCTTTCATTTGTCGGTTTCAAAAAGCCTACTCCCTTTAAGCTGAATTATTAAATAGTGACAAATGCAATGATGTGCACGTATGTAAGACTATTTCTGGCCTAATGCTATTTTTCAGTACATACACGAGCTTTTCATATTGTTTTACACATATTTTGTAAAAGATTTTTTTAATGTGTACTTTTTGCGCACACGAATTTCATACATGTACATATTTAAAGACATAATGATTTGTTCTGTTCCCTAATCAAATATACAACTTTTTATTACATGTTTTGCAGTGGATTACTGAATTATAACGGTTAATTATATTCTGATAATTTCACAGTAATGATTACCAAATATAATTTCACAGTAGCCGAACTATATTTGGCGTAAAAATAAAATATTAATCATTAATGAATGTTTTTTTTCAGGGGAAATGTAGTCAATCATAATAAAAAATGTACGTGATAACTGTAGTTCGTAAATATTTACGAACGTTGTGCTGAAAAACATCTAAAATCTAAAAATAATCATGGAATTATATTTTGCTTCAACATTGTGACGTCATTATTTGATGACGTCATGAAGATAAGAGCATGGCGTTACGCGGCAAAAATCAGTAAAATGGTGTAAAAATCGTTAAAAAATCATGAAATAAACAGAAAATTTGTTTGTTTTACATGTAAGATCAAATAATATTTCACTCGTGAACCCCAGCTATTATATTTTCACTCCTGGCTACGCCACTCGTGGAAAATATTGCATCTGGTGTTCACTCGGTGAAATATTTTTCGATCTTACACTGAAACAAACAAATATCCTCTATTTATCATAGAAGATTTACTAAATTAAATGACGTCACGCTTCTAATATAATTTATCGGATGATTATCAAACATTTTATCTCCTAGCTAGGGGAGCTCGGTATAGTTTCTATTATAAGTCAAACATATATTCAATCAATTTCAGGCACACCTTTGCAGCATTTATCCTTTTTGCACGCACGAAAAAATTAAGTTTTATGTAGTTTAACACAAATTCTTCTTAGCTGGTAAATCTGTGTACTGTATAATTTTCTTTAAATAAGCGAGATGTGAAGGGGTCAAGAACTTCAAACTAAACATCTTGATCTATAACTTGACCTATAAAATCTGAGCTATATATACCTATACTTCCATGTTCTTCATATTTACTTTACAGTTGCAATTCCGACGCTATTCCTATTTCTGCAAGGTAGACCATATGAGGATGGGTTTTTCTGTGACGACAGGCGTCTTAGTTACCCATACAAGCCTGATACAATATCTACAACAGAGTTGATCTTAGCCGGTTGTCTAACAGCAATAGCTGTAGTAAGTATTAGTATTTATGAATTTCAATATTCAAATATATCATAGCATCATTTTCTTCAAATCAATCTTACATTTTTCAAAGTTTTTTCATTCTCTTCTGAAATCCATAAGTATCTCTTTTTAAGAATTCCACCGGTGATAATGCACAGAATGAAAATGCCTTCACTAATGGTCCCACGGCTAAATGTCTTAACAACAGTTTCCAGAAGATTTCATGATCGTCATTGATGAGTTACAGAACATACAAAACGGTTAATCCAAAACAATATCATAATATTTACTTCATACCCTAGTTCATTGAACTATGATTTCTTTTTCGCTACAGATAATATTCACAGAAGTCTTGAATTATCTAGATAAGAAATGCCGGCGACCATGCCAGCCTGTCGATGAAATAACTTATTGCATTAAGAGTTGTGGTGTATTCCTTGTCGGCTTTGTAATACTGGAGCTTGTGGTAGAGGTTGTTAAAAACCAGATGGGCATACTCAGACCTAATTTCTTCGCCGTTTGTAAGCCCAAGTTCAACCAGACATTATGCCCTGGGTAACTCATTTATAATCATCTACTAGTATAAATTTGTTAATGTCGTGTGTTACGATACGTTATGTTTTTATGTGATATTAATGTAACTTCATATCTACAATGTTTAAATTACAATCATCGAATAAAACATTTCTTAATAAATTTGACACCCACATGTGTATGTGAACTTTCACCCAGTGACGTTTTTAATCATTGGCATCTAATTTACAATTTTTTTAAATTTATTCAAATTATGAGCTTTGCTAGTTTAATACGAATTCTACCTTCATCCTTCTTAATGTTTCTAATCTTTTTTTTTGTTGTTGCTTTAAAGGAGCACATTTATTTGGGATCTTTAACTGAACCTCTTTTTTGTAGGTATATATCAGACTACACATGTACAGGAAATGATTATGGTGAAAATACTTTGCGACAAAGCCGACAATCGTTCCCTTCCGGTCATTCAGCGTTCTCCATGTACATTGCGACATTCTTTTGTGTAAGTATTTATTTGCTTAAAGTATTAATCGTTATTCAAATGGTCAGTTACATTTTAATGTAGCTATATTGCTTCTACTTATGAAACCTAGCGTTTCTGTTGTAGCTCACAATATATGTGACATATACATACATATATACATATATAATAATGCAAAAATGAACCTGCAAGGTATTCATTTTTATTATGGGACAGCCGTCTAATATCATGATTTTAAATTACCCGTAAAGACAATTAAATAAACAATTTGAGATCAATGTATATCATTATATTTAAAAACAAACAGAAAAAAACTAACCTTTACTCTGATAGCATCATCAATTAGTAATAAACTACCGAATTCGTTGTTTTGTTTTGTACAGATATATATTCAAGCACGCCTGCAAATAAAATTTTCCCGGATTCTAAAGATCTTTCTCCAAAGCGGGTTAATATTCTCTTCCTTACTTTGCGGCATTGGACGTGTCACGGACAATAAACATCACCCATCTGATGTCATAGCAGGCTTTATATTAGGCATCACCGTTGCTGTATTTGTGGTAAGCATTTTAAAGTTCTAAACGAATTTCTCTACTTTATTATACGGATTTAGGATAAAAAAAACTACTGAGTTGCCTTCTTATTTTATTTTACATATATCATGTATATTAAGTGCGCACATGTATTTGAATAACATGTTTGCAAAGGAAATAAACTTAAATCCTTATCTTATCATTATGCACGTATCTTGGAAACTAGCCTGCACGATCCGCTCAAAGAATATTACAGCAAACCAAGAAGTATACACATTGATTCTCGATATTTGTATTTGCAGTGTAAAACAGCTGGACGGAACATCTTCAATCTTTCCTGTGAAAATGATAACGACCTCTCTACAAAGTCCCTAACAGAATCACGTGATTGTTGTTGCTATAGTGACCAGACATCAGAAGCGGAACCACAGACACCTTCCCCTTTACTGCCAAATGAATATATCCAACGTTTAAATAGCGGACTAGATACATTGACGCCTTCACTTAAACCAGTTCCAAGTAAAAACACTCAACAATTGTCTATACAAGTTAAACCAATTCGGCATTTAGAGGATTTTTGAGAACTTTCATTATTGACACTACAAGAGTGTTTGATATTTATTTAAATGCAGCTGAATTTAAAGGTTGTATACTCTTAGTTTAACCTTTATAACATTGATTGAATATATGTAAAACATTCAAAATGAAATTCAATTGTGCGACAGTTTCTTCTATGTAAAGTATATTACATTTGTGAAGAAGATATTGCTGTATTAATGATACAAGAGAAGAAAAGAAATAAGGATAAACTGTGTTTTGTGTTAGATGTATAAATCGCATTTGAGTTGTGCAATTGCATAAACATTACTATACGTATTCATTTCTTTAGTCGCTAAAATATATAGAGTCAAATGCCATGCATTGTTTGTATGCATATATTTTTTATATGTCTATATTCTGTTGATATGTCTTTCTGATGAAGATCTGCAGACTTTTAGTAAAGTACTAAATTTATATAGTTGAGAAATCATTCAAGAGTCAAAATTCATTTTTTACGTAATGATAGCTCGAATGGTATACAATATTAGGGTATAGAAACTTAGTATGCATTTGAGTAGGACTCCTCGAATATTCGATTATTGAATGCAACTTATTCATTGTTGAAGTCCATGTAATGACGTTGATGTGTGTACAGTGTATATCGTTATCACAAAAGATAATTAAATATTACAGTAAAAAAATCAATGCAAAGCCGGACATTAGCAACTTGTTTTGATTCTTTCCAGAACCATTTTACTTTACAAAAGAAATTGATATACCAATAGTATTTAAAATACCAATTAGCTGTAAAACATTTGATATCACTTCATGACTGTAGTTTCATGTCATACATCAGAATTATACAAAACCAGATGTTCTTTTTTTGAAAGTGGAAGCCTTATACAAAGACAAATGTTTTTGGAAGTGGAGGCCTTATACAAAGACAGATATTTTTTTTTTAAACATAGACAAATGGTTTTAAAAGTGGAAGCCTTATACAAAGACAAATGTTTTTGGAATTGGAGGCCTTAGACAAAGACAAATGTTTTTAAAAGTGGAGAAATTATACAAAGACAGATATTTTTTTTTTTAAACATAGACAAATGGTTTTTAAAGTGGAGGCCTTATACAAAAACAAATGTTTTTCAAAAGTGGAGACCTTATACAAAGACAAATGTTTTTTTTTAAGTGGAGACCTTATACAAAGACAAATGTTTTTAAAAGTGGAGACCTTATACAAAGACAAATGTCTTTTTGCAAGTGGAAGCCATAATGTCTGACATTAAAACCTTGTCAGACTGTACATGTAAGTGATGCTTGCGACTCGGATGACACATCTATTCCAACATCTAAAACTGTATATATGTACGGAATCTGTTATAGTTAAAACTGAGATATAGGAGTAGAGGATAAAACACTTTTACCAACACTTTTTTCTTTGCATAATTTTCACAACGGATTTTCCATTGTAATTATTAGAACAAATGCAGAAGCTTTATTTTATTTGTTTAGGATTCGTTACCTTTTATTAGATATTAGAAACAACAGCAACCCAAATTCTAAGCAGGTTTGAAATTATGTAAATTATAAAATTACATCAAAGCAGTCTATTTATAACACATACTTGTATATATTAGATTCACCCAAACATGTTACAGGATTAATAACCACAATTAATCAGAAGTGGGATACTGAAACTGCTTTGCCCGTCTGTCTGTAAATCGTTCTGTGTGGAATCTTTCTACAATAGCATGAGAAGACCTTACCCTACCGTTTTAATGTGGAGAAAATCTATTTAACTTATTGACTACTGAAAAAATATTAAAAACATTGCCTGTTTTTGTTCGGTCGTACACTAAACATGGAGTGCTCCGTTTTATTAACATTCACCCAAACATGCTTTTATTTCATATTTTTGTATGGCATATCAGCAAATTTCAACATATCTTTTTATACAAAGGTTATATCTAAGTCAGTGGCGTGTTTCATTCATTCTAAAGATAGATATCAGTTGCAAATATTTAGATTATCTTGTCACCAAGACATGAATATGTTGATCAATATACGATCGCAAAATTGGCGGGATGAAAGAATTATGTGAGATATCAGATTTTATGTAAATCAAGTAATGAAAAGAAAGGTATACGTTCTTCATACTTAAAACCTTCAAAATATCGGAACATCACTTCGCTTTTACAAGTTTTAAACCGTACTTAAACTTGTATTCTATTCAGAATGTCTCTGAAAATTTACCTTCTCTTCTTGTTAAAAACTTTATTTTTGATAATTCTTGCTGCTGTACAAGACTCCAACTTTGCCGTAGTAACCGATCTACTGAGTTCCATTGTGTCAACAGTTAATAAAGATATTACATTACTTTCAGCCGGACATGAACACGCTAAGTCAAACCAAGCATGTTGTCATGAGGGCGACCACTAAGGTTCCCTTTTAAAACATGTGTATATCAGTTTATACACACTTCCCTATAATTTCACAGTGATATAAAAAACAACCCTTAAACACTCCCTCTGAGTCATAATTATCATTTTAACACAACATTAGAATCACCAGTTAAAATCGAATTCTCGGAAAACATTCGTTGAACATTAACTTTGATGAATAGCTACCTCTGTATGTTTCTTATACATGTATCAATCTGTTATTCAGCATATTTAAAAAAAATCTAAAATATAGAATTTCAAATATGCAAACGACGTTATAGCACTCGAAAATGTTATAAAGATAATCCTTATCATTTGATTGCTGTTCCACTGAGGTGAGATACGCTTTGACAAAAAAGTTTTTTTTTTAATTTCCTTGATGCAATTTTAAGATTTATCGTTCTCTTATCTTAGATGACACTCTCGGAATTTGCAATTAGGTATTTTCTTAATGTGATAGAAACAGTTTTTTTCCAGATATTTCAGATACTTCGAATTACCTATTAAAAGCATATACAATTCTTACAAGGACGAACATAAGCTAATATAATACTTTTATTCACTTAATAACTCGAATATTTGAATTGATGAAAGCAATAAATATCGCTGCTTTTTTTTTAAAAATCCATCTTAGCCTATACCTGTCAATAACCGTACTACATTGTGAGGAATTTATGTGGTAGATTTGCCATTGTCTATCATGACTAACAAAACAGTGGAATATTAGTCTATTAGTCACACGTGTATACTTTAATAAAAGAAATGTTTTTTTTTCCATTTTGAAATGTTAATGTAAAAGATATCCTAACACAAATGGTTGAAAACTTATATATACAGCTATTTATGATTTATAGAGGATATCCATGTTTTTCCTACTAATATAAATACGTTATTTACTTTCATCGAGTGGCATGGAAATAAGTATTTCACGAGAGGCGGAAAACAAGACTGATACATTTATTATATACCCCTTATATACACCAGTGAAAGTACGGAACATATGTTTAACAGCAATGAAAAATAAATTTGTACAGTGAAAATACTGAAAATAAGAATATGCAATTTATTTCATGAATTATTTCCCTAACATTTCATTGATAAGTTTATTACACACAATTACTTAAATTATTTTAGATTCGATACTTCAGCTACATGAAATTTTCGAGCACAATTTGTTGACGTAAAAAAGAAACTCAGATTATCGCCGATATTGTACATTTTACTGATTTGTGATCAAAAAATCATCTGTGTGGTTATCAGCAAGTTTCAGACTATTTATTTATAGAAGGTTATATCTATGTCAGAAGCGTGTAACACCCATTCTGTAGATTTATATCAGTTACCAATATTTAGATTATCCCGTCAACATAGACATAGAAACATTTATCATTATACGATCGCAAACTTCCGAGTTACTTTCAAGATGTTAGATTTTATTTGGAAAGCTAAAATGCTTGATTTAAATCATCTTATGCAACTGCAGATACATCTACAATACAATTACAGTTTTCATGTAATTTCACATTTAGGCGAAACATAGTATTATAATTAGGAATATTTATTATCTCAATTTTTAATCAATATTTAGGTTTCCATTTTAATACTATTATTTATGTTAAATTTGGATCTTTTCGGCTCAAAAAAGTTGTTAGACGTAACAAAATAAATTTTAAACAATTTGATATTGTTTGTTTGTAATGACTAAAGATACACAACAAAAATGACAGTAAGCAAATATTTCTCGATTTAAGTATTTGTTAGTTTTTCGGTTGAACAAATATCCTTTGTCCTGCTTTGCAAATACTTCCTTGTGGCATAAGAATTGCACTGTGTTATCGTAAAGAAGACTAATGGAAGTCTATGTATCTTTAGCTCCAGAATGTAAGGTGGCTTTGACATTGGTATTGATTTAAAGATTTTAACAACCAAGGTAAGACATTTCCAGTTCCTGTGCCTTATGACCTATACTGTGTTGGTGAAACCAAACAAACAAAATTAAAAAAAAGACAATTAACATCACTATTGTTTGTATCTTTGTTTTGAATACTTTATTTGAAATCATTAAACTTATTAAAAAGAACACAGTGGTATCACGTTCGTCAAATCAAAACAGCGTGCATCTGCAGTTTGATATCAGTGATATAGATTTTCATAACTTGACTTTTTTATATCAATACCTCCATTAACATTTTCAATCTTAGTCTATTTATCTCTATTTTTGTTTCTGCCCCGCAAGAAGTTTGTCTGTCAAAGTATTTTCGAGATAAGGTGATATCATTGTTCAAATTCGTACATTTTTTTTTAAAACACAGACAGAAAAGTAACGTATATATTTAGATTGTGTCATCAACACAGACAGTCCTGATGATCACTATACGATCTAAACCTGTTGAGATGATAAAACATCAGTTTTTCTTTTTTGAACATTTTCCTTGTATCTTAACGTCGATTTCATGAAAGTGTAGCATCTATTTTAGCTATTTGTATCTGCAATATGACGGTGTGTGTGTGTGTGTGTGTGCGTGTTGGTGCGTGCGTGCGTGTGTGTGTGTGTGTTTGTTTTTTATCACTTGAAAACATCTTTAAAATAAATCTTTAATATTGTAACTGCGTCTCAAGGTTTCAAGATATTCATCAGGTAATCTCAAAGTAAGAAGCTGGTAACACGAGTTTGATTTTGGATGGATGTAAAAGTATATATCGTTATTGTTATTTATGCTGGTTCTTAGTATGCATTGCTTTGAATTGGTTTGGATTTTGTAAGATTCGGTCGTCTTCTTTGTTGACAATCTAATGTGCACACTTGAACCGCTGATGAAGTTCTCTTGCTTCTATATTCTACTTCATATGTAGATGTCTTGTTGGTTCAAGTATTTATAAAACAATAGGTTATGAGGAGATTTTATTAAGTACGAATCAAGTATACGAAATTGTTATTTTTCTTTTTCAAAACACATTTCCATTCAGAAATGCAATAAAGAGCCACGCAATACAGAAATTAAGATAAAAACAACAATTACACCCCGGAAGAAAACGCGATTCAATGCAAAATGTATAAGCAAAACATACAAAAAGAAAACCAACAAAAATAACTCCCTGCATTCCAATGAGATCAGGCATATCTGTAGAAGTAAAAGTTTCATCGTCTCTGGAAAAAAATGATTTCTTTGCAAATTTGGCCAAGATCAAAATGTGGTATTTTCAACATAAACTGATACATATGTTGAAAGAAAAGGGGAGATATCTTTCATTGTAG